AAAATATTTAACTTGGGGCATAAACTCTGCGACGCAGGGCGATCCCAAAAATATCTAGACAAACCAAACCAATCCATCTTTCTAGATTCTAGAATATATAACAAGACAATAATGTGGTAGTTAAAAAAAATGGGAAAGTCCCTTATTTTTGTAAAAACATCAGTAGCATAAATAATTCATTTATTAATGATAAAATTAAATGAAATATTTAACAGAAACTGAGACGAATAACGCAGTCTTTGACTTCACAAGTGAATTAAATTTGCTAAATTTAAGTAGTAAAATATTTCATTGGGTGGATAGCATTCATATTGAACAAGGTTATGTCAAACATAGCATAGATGGTAGATGGAAATGCTGCAGGAAACAATGCAAGAAAACTTGTTCTATATTTGAAAATGCCATTTTTGGAAGCTCACACCTAACCATATATACCTACATTATTATAATATTGAAAATATTTAAATACACATTGCATAATTATTAATATAAACAACATTCTCTTGCGTTGAAAGTAACTACAATATCAAGCGTTGATGGGTCGATACTTCATTCGATACGAGTACTTTTTTTCGATACCTACTTGGTATCGCAACCGTACGTATTGATACCAAAAGTACTCGGTATCTAAACAAAAGTATCAAGTAATGTACTCGTATTTACTTGCATTGATTCATCCCTATTTGTAGCGTTTCGGACGCGGTGTATTCGTTACCTGTTCTCTGGACGAAGGAAAAGTCGTTATAAATACAATTGAAAATTAAAATAAATAATCACCCATATAGGTGCCGTTTAGTTAAATTTAGTTCCAAACGATAGTAACTTTTAAATATATCAAATAATATGCTAAAAACAGCTAAAATGATAAAAAATACAAATATTAATAACAGAAACAAAGAATTATATAATTACTCACGTTTTTCAGGAAGAAGAGAGTAGACTAGAACTACTCGCGTAGTGGAGTACTTGAATAATTGAAATTCGGTTCAAGGGAAGTTCTACTGTATTTGATTTATAAATACGTGGTCCAAATACAAGCGGTTACAATAGATCAGAATGGATTTAACAATTCATTGTACTGTTTCAGAGAAAATGCGGGAAAAAGGTGGAAAAACAGTGGAGAATTTGTCTTAGAATCGTTCGCCGAAGAAGTGAACGGAAATTTTTCCTCTTTAATCGAGGGAAAAAAGTTATCGTATTATTCCAGTCTATAATTAAAATGTAAACGCGGGCGAAATTTTTCTTTGAACGAATTAACCTCTCAGTGCATGATGAATTCTGAATTCATGAATGATGAATTCTGCGAAAAATCGCTCTTTTGAGCGAGATCCATCGGGCAACACTTCTGGTCACTGTGTCTCAGTTTCCAGGTGAATCTTAATCTCGAAATTTTTTCTGTGTAATATACGCCTATAGTACAAGTAACTGGCCAAATTTCAGAATTTTATCTCCTCTCCCACCAAAGATAATTGGCCCTAAAGTTTGCATAAGTCACGGAAATCGGGATATTTGAGAAATTATAGAAAAGGGATTAAATCTCAGACTTGAATTTTATCAGCCAACTAAATTGGCATGTGCTCTACCAACAAAACCCAGAATTAAGTTCTAGTAATCAAACTTGCAAACTGGACTCATGTTTTGGCTAGTAAAGTTAAGTTTAGGTGTATATGTTAAAAATTTTAACTTATAATGTTGAAGGACCCGGAAGAAATGGAAGACTCGTGAGGTGATTTAAAACAAGCTTTTAATTAGCAAAAAAGTTATCCGACGCTTTGTTAACGAGATATTAACGAAAAACCCCGACCAATCAGAGCGCGATTCTGCCGACCGAGTTCCCGCGGTAACGTTGGCTACGCGCTGTCATTGGTCGGGGTTTGTCGTTCATATCTCGTTAACAAAGCCTCGGATAACTGTTTTGCTAAGGAAAAACTTGTTTCAAATCAGCTCACGAGTCTTGCATTTGCGGGTCATCCAACATTTTTGTAACACCCTGTATAATGTCGACATTTCATATCCAACGACCCAGTATTTTCTTCTGTTCCTTTTTTTATTAAACATATGGTTCATTCAAGCGATATTTGGTCTGCAAAAATACACCCACCGCAGGCGTGATAATGGAACCGCAAACATTTACAATTGCTTTTATTCGACTGGACGGTCGACGATTTCTTCCCAGATATGCATTCTTTTATGTGAACGTTTCGCAGGCCGCCTATTTCACTTGGAAATTAATCTTGCAGCCATTTGTGGCTAGTCTGCGAATTACATCTATGACTGAATTGCTGGTATTTAGGGATAATCAAATTTAATTTTACATTTACACGTTCGTTACCGTTATATTGTTTCGAAATCGTTCTTCGTCTCAAGGCACCGTTGGTCTTCCATTATTCCATTCAGTAGGATGCAGAGTGTACCAACTGATAGAGATCACTGAAATATCTACTTTTTTTTGTAATCAGAAATGTTAGAAGTTCAATTTGAATGGTTTCGAAAGATGAATACTAGGGAAGAGGAAAGAAATATTTTTACTTTTTTGGAGGGAAAGAATATACTTTTTGATAATTATACAGAATAGGCGAGCCACCTCCGATTTCAATGACCTTGAAATATGTTGTCAAGGTCATCATTTTGAACAACTTTATCGAGATATATGCAAAAATATATTTACCACTATGTAGGTATATCGAATGCTAAGTATTTATTAAGATTTCCTCTTAAATTAAGGGTGAATATTTACAGTGTTTGTGTATTATAAACATATATATGTTATGAACTAACCGTTAAAACTGCAATAACAAACAAATATTTTTCATTATTTTATTTAGCGTCTTTGATGTTTCGCAACTAGGATACTCGACTAAAAAATCGCAAACAAAGCTCCAACACGCGTCCCGATAAATACTATCTATCAGATTTGTTACAGAATTTTTGCGCATCATTAAACAGAGAAAACAGAGGAAAAACTGATTATCCGAATTTTTCCCTATTACTACTCTTCTGATGGAGATAGATGGTTGAAACTTGGCACAGACTGTTTTTTCTTGACAAGCTATCGAATGGTATATTACAAGACTAAATCGGTCTAAGAACACTTTCGACCCCTTATTCTGCTATACACTTTATTCTTTTTTTTTTTCGACTTATTGTTTCTTATAGAATCACCTCCAGCCCGGCCGTACTCCTCGGCCTAAGACATCCTGTATTACAATTATTTTCTTTTAGCGTTTACTTTCAATTCCATCCGAACGAAGTAAAATATTTCGAAATTCAATTTTTCGATTTTTGTACACAACTCATGGGACTGTGCGTCACCTCAGTTTGATCCCCGAACGAGTCGAAAACAAAAGGAAACAAGCAATAAAGTATTCGCAACGAACGCCTTCGATCGATCGCAGGAGAAAACAATACACCCTAAATGAGTTTCCTTTTAATATCCACGGATGGGCAATATTAGCCCTTCGTCAAGATTTTCACACAGGGGAAAAGGGTGCGGGACATCGTAATTTGTTTTTCATGAAAACCACTCGGCCGACGTTCCATCCCCTTCATCTTTATTCGAGAAATAATCTTTTGAATTGCGTTTATACATATGCCAAAACTTCGTCCCATATCGGTCCCAGGATATCGAATCTCTGCTTCTAAGAGTACGTTTATGTTCGAGCTTACAAGGACAGGGACTCCAAATGTATGTCTCAGATTTAGTTCAAACTCTTCTCACTTAAAGTATAGACTATGCACAAAAAAACCCTAGTAGGGTTCCGCCACATAAGCCTTCGTTATTGCGAAAATTAACAATAAACATTTTAAAGAGGGCAAGATGAGACATAATTTGAAATACTGAAGACAAGAGCGGTGTAGCCGAGTTGGTTAATCTTTTTAGGCTAAATATTTTTTTAGTTCAGAATAATTTATTCTGAATAATCTATTTAACTTATATAAGTTTCGAATATAAGTAAGAATTTAAAAAAAAAAAGGTATGCGGGAGTTCAACCGTCGACCTCCGGATTGCGAGATACTCGCTTTAACCGACTCGGCTACACCGCTCTTGTCTTCAGAATTTCAAATTATGTCTCATCTTGCCCCCTCTAAAATGTTTATTATTAATTTTCTCTGTTTTTTAATTTCTTTGTTTAATTAATTTTCTTTTGTTTGTGCATAGTCTATACTTTAAGTGAGAAGAGTTTGAACCAAATCTGAGATATACATTTGGACTCCTCTCCTTGCTAGTTTAGGGAGTAGAACCTCGATTATCGGAATGCGCTGTTAATAGTTTCAAGACTCGGACAACACGTCCGAAAGTGGTCTGTTATAATGTCTGCAGAGAAATATATTCCTAAATTCAATTATTTATTTTTAAACGTAAAAGGAAAACAAATGTATTAGGGTGCATTATAATTTAGACAATTAGAATTCACTAAAAGACAACATAAGTAAACTATCCCAGAATTTATACTTTCAGTACGTAGTTTTTTGTCAACAGTTCTAGTTTCTGTGAAAAGAAAAGATAAAAAGTGAGAAATCGTAAGAGTGCCATAAGAGCTGTGTTAGAAACTGAATTTTTGACAACAATTTCATCATTGACTCAATCCAATAATTACTAGGAAACAAAGCCTCGAACGCAATTTCCTCATTCTTCATTTTTTTCTCAATTGGCATGTGGAATCCACCCTGTGAAACTGTTGTTAACACCGTATACCATATGGAACAAAAAGAACAAACGTCATAACAGAAGATTTCATCGGGATCGTTCCGAAATACAGAGTCCTCCCGATTATTGTCTGGCTTGCTCTCCACGATTATTGTCCAAGCGTTATCCCCACCACTGGAGGGGGAAGACCTACTTTGTTGCCCCTCCGCTTTTGTTGCCGAGGAAAAAAAAACGAATTTATGAGGGTCTGAAGCATTTCTCCTTATTTGATTATTGTCCCGGCATGGACCCGAGTTTGGGACAATAATCGAGACGAGTCTGTAGATGTAATCGAAGGAATTTTTGGTTTCAGGCCGTTACGTGGGCTCGCGTCCCATAAAGCTGCGCAAGAGCTCGTGGAAGCAGCGAAATCTGGAGTCGGTGCGGAAGAAAGAGAAAGAGAAACAGACGTTAATCGGCCTTCTGACCGGCCGGTGACGCGATGGGACTCTCGCCCTTTCATTTCCTCGGATCGTCCTCTGGATCATCTCGCGATCGTTGCTTTTCTCGATGTAACAGCTGTACTTGAGCTCGGGGGCCGCCCTCTTCAATCGCGAAAAACTTAATTAATCATGAATTATGCGAAGATAATACAGAATTAGCCGATCGATGAGTTTGATTCGTTAATTTTAAATTAACAAGTTGATGTACGCATCGTGAACGAAGCATTGTTACGATCGACGACTATGTAAAAACTGTGCGTAAGTAAGTGCAAATAAATTCTTACCGTAATTCGATTCGCTTGAGATGTTCTTATTATGGTTTTTTTTTCTTTTTTTTTTTACGATTTTATTTGCCGTGCTCGATGATTTCAAGCCCCATCTGGCCCGAATTCAACGAAGAAAATCCAACAAGGTATGTGAAAATTGTTATTTAGTAATTATTAGATCATCGTTATTATTTTATTAGTGTCATTGTGTAAGTGACAACCTTTACTTATTTTATGTTCGGGTTGTATGAATACACAATTAGAAAAAGAACTTCAGATGACCTAGGTAGCTTGCAAAGGAAATTTTGGTAACCAGAAATTTGTGATTTTTTTTTAACTTTGCCGTTTTGAGGATGTTTGGATACCTTTGTGTATACCTTTCTGTATGTCTTGGAAGCTGTAACAGATATACAAAAATTGTCACGATGAAAATTTAAAAGGAAATTGTTAAAAATTGTTATTTAAATAGATAAATAAACTAAATTTCAAACAGCTGTAAAATCAACAGTTTTTTAAATTTTCAAAAATCGTTCGAGGTTTGTTTATATATCGCTAAAGACTACAACATATTCAAATCTGAACAAAATCCGAAATGTTGCTCCAAAAAGTGTTCCATTTCACGTGGAGTGACCCTATAGATACAATTAATACATCATGAAATTATCAGACGGTGATTTGTTGTTTGAGCATCATGAAACGAGCAACAAAAGTCGCATCTTTGACAAAAAATGTCGGAATACCCTGGCGAGAAAGGGGAAGAGGAGGTTAATCCGCTGGGGGTAGGTGCTTCTTCATTTTAAGAATCAATTATTCCGATACTTCATTGTAATTATGTTCGCGAATTACGTTAACGTTTTCAACAAACTCCTACACAACTTGATGTCGAACAAAAAAACGTGTCGGGAATGTAATACATAAATATGTTTGAATTATCAGAATGAAACTGCGAACCAGTTTGAATCGCAATGACACGGTATATATTAAACAGGGTGTCATAACTATATATGTATATTGCCGACGTTTATGCAAATACAACTTTTTGTGGATTAATGTATAAAGATTGTAGACAAGTAGCAATTTGTTTGCCTCGTCAAGGTTTCTACATGGTTTGATAGAAAGAAACAATCACGGTGAACTTGATTAAAAATTATGTAAGACTTACATTGTAAGCGATAAATGCATATGTACATATATATACATACATATACCGAGTGGTTCACGTAACTGGCACCACTTCGATTACTGCGTAAATAATGATGTTAGTAAAAAATGTTTCAGATAAAAGTTGTATAATTTCAAGGGGGACATAATTTGATGTAATTAGTTTTTTTGTAAGTAAATGCGTAGAGGACATATGAAGGTCAAGTTTGTTTTTTTTAACCAATTCGCTACCACGGACGAGATATTTCGCGATAACATTGTTCGTACAATAGCCACGGACGAGCTACCCCGTGTGTTTGATTATTATTAGGACGAGATTTGTAATTAAGAAAAATATCAATTCATGCAGTACTCTTGTACAGATTCCCGTATAACTAAAATCTCGAGGCTCAAAGTTTACCGTGGCAGTTGGAATTCTCGAATTTTCTTTGGTCCTATAAACTTTTCCATCTATCAGCCAAGGGAACGTCATCGTCACTTATACATGACATCGTATCTTCATTCCTATTGAAGTCACTGTCACTATCACTAATAATAAGATTTCTCACTCGATGAGCCATTTTCGTATACAATCGTGTAGAGCTATGCAAACTATTGCTTATAACCTAATTGATTTTCATAAAAAATTTACAGCAGTTAATTTTTTAAGTGCCAATATTAAATAGGTTACGAAAGATCGAATATTAGTAATTGTTTAAAAAAACTTGTTTACCACTTATATTCTTGAAATTCTATCTATGAACTAATAGATTTCCAAAAGGTAAATACATCAATGGTGCTGAAAAGTTGATGACATAATCTATACATAACCTATAAAGCAAAATTTCAGTCGACTAAAAACTATCGACTAAATAGTCGAAAGTATGTTGCGACTAAATTGTCATTAGTTGATGGTGCCCATCACTACCGCATAGTGAACTATTCGATTTATTTCTATTACCTACATTTTTCAAAATTTTAAGGTCAGTTTCAATTTTTTAAATGGAAGTCGGATTTGTTTTTCATAACGAAAGTTATGGATGAAAGAAAAGTTATGAAACAAAAGACACTCACAGAACGGTAATTTTTTGTTTATGTTATTGTCAACATTCTCCAACGGTCAAACATCTGCAGAACTAGTTTTTGGTACGTCAGTTGGTAGAATTTCTTTAAAAATTATCCAATGACCATTGTAACGCAAATATCGCTGAATTTGTTTTACTGTTATCCATAACCTAACCTAACCTCTATCACTTTGCACAGAATGAAATCTAATCGCAATTTTAAACATTTGGGAAACGTTTCTTATACGCCTTTTAAGAGATTACCAAAACGTTTTGAAAAACTCTTTAAATGTTCCCAAAAAGTATAGAAAATGTTACTTTTACACGTTCGGGAAATGTTCTGAGAATGTTAAGATTATTTGTCTGCATTTCATCTTCCAAAATAGCAGCTTTATATGTGAATTGTTTGAGTAATTCGGCAGACAAGGAGAGTAAAATTGCAGTTGCACGAACCGATGCAATTGGATGAGCCGTGATCGGGAGGAAATTTTTAAGGAATTAGTTGAACAACTAGAGTGAAATTTCAGTTATACGAGGGCGAGAGAAACGACAAGAGCGAGAGACATGGACGTGGTAAGGCGTTGCTCCCGAATGGCGACATGTACGTGGGCCAGTACTGCAAGGGGCTGAGGCACGGTCGTGGACTGTACGTGTTTAAAATTGGCGCCAGATACGAGGGTGAATGGAGACGCGGCGTAAAATACGGCCAGGGAACTTTTTGGTACCCTGACGGAACGCGTTACGAGGGTACGGAATCACCTATCGAAATAGAATGATCCGTTTCAAACACGAAAACGTGGGCCGTACGCATTGGCGTAACTAGGCAGGAGCCAGGGTGGGCCTGCCCCCCCCCTCCCCCAGAATACGGACTGCCCCCTGCCGCGCCGTCCAAAAAGTATTGAAATATGTAAAAAAACATTCGTCAGTTACTAAAATCTTCTGTTATAAAAAATAAATATTTGGGCCGAAGTGCAATAGGCAACGCAACTAAATACTAAAAATATAATATTGTCCTCAAATACGTACAGGTGTCTGATGGGAAGTCAGAATACCTGGCCCCCCAGACAAAAATCCTAATTACGCCAATGGCCGTACGTACAGTCGTAGTCGCCTAGTCGCGTACCCGTATCTACGAAAGACGATACGTAGAGCGTGGGAGACACATAATAATTCTTAAATACGCCAGAATGTCGTCCCACGTATTTCAATATTTTATGAAGTGGGAGAAGGGGACTGAAATGGAATGAATAATATCGTATGATATCATGACGAATACCCTACCCATCCCCTGAAATATCGAAACGTATCCTCTGTTCCAGTAATCACGTCCCTCCCAGCTAAATAATGACAAACGACACATGACAAGTTAATACGTTTAACCCTTTCAAAACGAATTATTTCTTTTAACGATGAACTCAATAATATATTGGTACGGGCTTTAAGGGGTCTCCCTACTGTGACGGGTCAAAAAAATCAATTTTTTCTTTTTTACATAAAGCTGTTTTAAAGATATAGCGTTTGCCATAAACGTAGCCGATCCTTAAACCATTAGTACGCGATCATCAGGGGCTTATTGTATCCCACCGCACTCAGTGTTGTGGGTCTCTTTCAGCTATGGGGCTCCAAGGAATAAAACGAAAAAGACTGGAATATTTGAAAGAAATTTACGATTTTGTAAGCTTTCATCAAGAATAAGAGGGCCAGTAGTATTTCAAATCTGAAATTAGTACGCTATAAGAATTTGTTTAATTACATTATTACGGAAAAACCGATGCCAAATTGTCATCGTACGCCTCTGAACGATGGTCGAGCACAATTTTCGGTGGAACCTTCGCCTTATAAATATAAACCCCACGTTTATAGAAACCGAAAAAGTACCGGTATTTATTTCGGTTTTCAGTAATACATCGATTTCGATATAGCTTTGATGGCATAATACCGGTATCGAAATCATACCGGTTTAAGTCCCTGCTCAAAGGTATCGAGTGACAGGATTAGGCTACCGAAACACATAAACTTTAGGGTCGGTAAGGGTATGGCCAACGCTATATCTTTGAAGTAGCTATACGCCTACCAACTTTCTAGCACTAAACAGTCACCCGTCTGTCGCCGGCATTTTAGCCAGCCTGTAGCAAAGATGGGCGTTATTCGAATAAAAATGCGAATAAATTTTTCGAAAAAATGTTATTCGAGTAAAACGAATTTGTTCAATAACGAATAAATTTTTATTCGAATACAAATTTATTCAAATAAGAATTTATTCGAAGGAACCAGCGAATAAGAATTTATTTGAAGGAACCAGCGAATAAAGGTTACGTCATCGACACGCACCAGCGGCGCATCAATCGTGAACCGCTACCTCGAGAAGGTTACCCCTTACCCAGAGATAGACAAACTCATTATCTAGATAAAAAGTTTCAAATAACGAATAAAAGATAAAAAAAAAAGTATTTCGTCATTTTTAATTGTTTGAACGTGGAAATTTCAATTTTTATAATAAAATAACACTTCTTTAACACTAGGTTTACGGGCATTTATCGTGTAGGTATCTCCAAGGCACGCGTCAACGAACCCGCAGATTTTCTTTAAAAAACAACTTATTTTATATAATACACAATTTATGATCTCTGAAATTAATGCATAGCTATAAAGATAGGTATACCACATAGAGAATTTCGAGGTTACAAAGCATTCGAAATGCGTCAAAATGACGCGTCCCGTAAACCTAGTGTTAATCTCATTAACTGTTTAAAGCTCAGAACGACACCCTTAGATACTGCTGCTTTTCACTGTGTATTATTCGAATAAAATTCTGCCCAACTCTGGGCCTTACCGCATCGTACCCCTCGGGTTCCTGTCCATGGATGGGAAGCGGTGTCGCTTATTTATTCCTGACTTTTATTTCGCTGCGGAGTTAGTCAGAATAACAAATAACAAATAACGAATAACGAATAACGCTTTATTTGTGACTAACGAATAATTTTTCGTCGAATAAAATCGTTATTCATTATTCGCGAATAAATCCTGGGACTTTATTCGTTATTCATTAAAAATATTTATTTTACATTATTCATTAAAAATATTTATATTACAAAATTTTATTTCGAAATAAAATTTGCCCAACTTTGGGCCTGTAGAACGCATTTCTCGTAGGTGAGTGGAAGCGAGACAAGAAATACGGTTTCGGTGTATATTATTACGTGAACGGCGACGTTTACGAAGGCTCCTGGAGAAAGGATCTTCGTCACGGTATGGGATCGTATCTATACGCAGACACCGCCACGAAATTTATGGGCACGTGGGTCATGGATCGTATGCAAGGGCCTGGTCAGCTGATCTACCCCCGTCACAGGTTCCATGGATTCTGGGAGTTAAATTTGGTAAGACCCGTGGACATGGGCGTAGCCAGGTTATCAGTCGGAGGGGGGCAAAAATATTAACACATCGCCTGCCGCAGTGAAAAAGTCCGTACGTAGCCAGACACGTTTTATTTTGTTTTTAAAGTTATATAATCGTTGACAATGTATGCGTTTTGTTAACAGAAGCTGTTGGTCGTGATTCAAATTAAACTGAAATATTAAATTTATGCAAAAATTTTGTAACTCTGGGAAAAGAAGGGGGGGTCAAAATCCAATCTTTTTCTTGTAGGATGGGGCAAAATCCACTCTCTTCCGTCCAGGGGTAGTTCCTTCTCTACAGCTTTCTTTACCCCAAATACATACTCAGTGAAAAATCATTTATTTAATAATGTTTGGGTTATTTGTTTTTAAACGCATGTACATATATGTTTACAAACTTGTTTTAAACACACAAAAAAAATGTTGTGTTAAAATAGTATTCATTTACCAAAAAACGAATTTGAAAAAAAAACCATTCGGAGGTATCTAAAAATTAATTCTTATTTTTTTAAGTGAATTTACATTGTTTAGTACCTGAATCACGGGCGTTTGCCCCCCCCCCCTCCCCGGATGAAAAAAAGTGGCCTTTGTCCCACTCTACAAGAAAAAAATTGTATTTCCCGCCCCCTCCATTTTCAAAGTTATAAAATTTTTGCGTAATATTTAATATTGCAGTATAATTTAAAACTCGACCCATAGACTCTATTAACAAAAAGAACGCATGCATTTTCAACGATTTATGACTTTAAAATCAAAATAATCAGGGGCTTGGGATGGGAATTATCCCTTGTGCTAGCAAGCAAACTGTTCACAGTTGCTGAGCTTCCAGGGTACCGGTGTAAGGGAGACAGGGGCAAAGTGGGCCTAAGAAAGTTTAAAGTAGAGTAAAATTTTATCCTTTCAATAAAAATGTGTACGAATAAATTTCTAATACAATTTATACATTACTGTTGACAAATTACGAGTAGCAATACTTCAGACAAATTTGAAATTTTTTAAAAATCAACTTGAAAACAAAAAGGCAAAAGGCTCACTTTACCCCATGTATGGGGTAAAGTGAGCTACTATCTAGGGTAAAGTCAGCTGAAATAAAATGTAGCTTTTAACTTTATACGTTAAAAATAAGGAATTAATTAATATTTACTTAACCCTTTGAGTGCCGGGAGCCGATATATCGGCTCCTGCTACACTGGCGAGAAGTGCCATAGCCGATATATCGGCCCGCGCCTCGTAGCGCTTTACTATTCGCATTGCGGGAGAACTCTATCTCAAAATAAATTTGTAATACGTTATAAATGATCTAATTTCATTATGAGAGAATTAAAAAAAAATAGTCTTTCGTTTTAACTCTTTGTGGACGACGACCTTTTCCTGTCGCTTGGAGGTACCGAAGTCTAACATAAACACCGATGGTCGCCACTCAGGCGATATTCGATCTGCGGTGTAAATCGCTGTGGCGTTGGACCCTTATCGGTACTTGTCGACAGTGTTTTATATAACACAAAATAACATCGCATTGCCGCAGCGAAACGTAGGATCAGTTAGTTTCTCCACGATCGTTGATGTGAACAGTATATTTCGTCCCAGTTACAGTTTGAAAGCGTGCTAAATAAATTATTTGTGTGAGTTGCAATAACAAAATTTTACACATTTGCAATATATAAATATAAATATTTATGACAACATAATTTTGTTTCAGCAATGTTATATTACCGATAACAATTACATATTTCGAAAGAGATAATCCGCCTGGCGCCTACCGTGTACCTTCAAGTTATGTTTTATTTTTGTTATGTAATATTGTTTATCTTGTTACAAAATATATTGGAAATACAAAGTATATGCTTCATAATAATTGACCCATATAAAATTATGGTGAAAAGATGACTGTTTGTATGTGCAAATAGGTTTTGTACGAGAGAACTCAACTTTTACTTCATTTATAAACATATATACCTTTGTTTTTTCTATAATTCTCAAATGAGTACAAAAAAACTAGTGTCATTGTTTAGTTCTGTATTTCATCTATAATACGCAGCTTTTTGAATCATGTAAATATCGTTTCTCGTTTGGTTTTTATAAGCATTTTCCCGAACCCTTGTAAAACTGTGAAATTCGGCCGGTTTTTCTCGCATAGGCACCTCTATTTCGCCCGGCACTAAAAGGGTTAAAATGTGCAAGCAATCCCAGTGTCCCTATAACTGTCACCCCAAAACTTAAAGTAATTCTTATATACTTTAACAATTCATTTTGCACAATAGATATAGGTTGAAGAGTAAAATGACAGCTCTTTCTTGACTATTATTACGCCATCATTTCCTACTTACGTAGTCGCGTTTTTGACGCTCAAATTGCGCTTTCACATTTCAACATTCAGTTTTAAATACCAAGCACATACAATACATGTATTTATTTGTTTTTATGTAAATCAGAGTCCTAATTCTATAATCAAATTTTTGGTACAAAATTCTTTATACGTTATGTTTTTATTAATGGAAATAAATAAAGTAGCAGTATTAGAGACACTTGCAGTAATTGGAGCATTTACCCTAGAAATATATTATTTATTAAAAATACAATCACAGCCTTACGGTCGAGGATGCTTCACCTTTGAGAATGCATGCATGCAACACGGTCATTATGTAAACGTTAAAGATCCCGAATACGATGAAACGCAAGAGGATATTACTGAGGTGAGAAAGTACCGAATAATAGTCATTAGACCGCGGATTGTTTGCAATGGCGAAAGATTTGTTGTAAATAGGTTTAATGAAATAGTACAAAAAATGAACTATACATATACGTGTCAGAGTTAGGCATTTAAATTAATCGTTATATAATTATTTCTTATATGGAATTTTAAATGAAACGAAGGAATAGTTGTTTCTATATTTGAAAAAATCTAAATACATTATCCAAAACGATAAAGTTATTTGTTATTTATTGTGCAAATATAACTTTAATTACTATTTGTTTTTTATTACTTATCTGTCGTTGAATCTGTCGTCGTACTGTTTGCAAAAAAAGTTTATAAAATGCAACCATGGTTAACCGACAACGATTTTTAAAGATACAGGCAGCATAATGGAAAATCGAAAACCATTTATTACTATAAAACTTTAGTGTAATTCAAATTACATAATTTCTACTTAAACAGGATAGAACAGAGGAAGGAACAAAGGATCCCTCTGCAGTGGAACCTCTTCCTTTGAAGAAAGGAATTATTGCATTATGGCGAGCACGTTGCATTACCCCATATAATCCCGATCTGTTGCCACCTGAACCAGTACCTCTACAAGAAGAGGTAATAATATCCACAATAAAGAATCCATCTTTAATTTTATTTTTTATTTCAGTTAGGGATAGTCCAATATCATAATCCAATCATGGCTTTCTATTTCTCTCACTTATGCGTGTTATACTTTAAGGCTCAAGGGGTCTGTCTTTCTTTTTAAGAGAGATCTAAAAAACGAATTTTGTTTATAATACAATAATACTTGTAGCTTCCAAATGATCCTGTAATATTGTTCTCTTGATTCTTTTTAACGGATCTATTAGACAATACATTACAGTCAACCAAAGTTGGGCGTAATCAATTACAAATGTAATATATGTATACATATACATACGTAATTGATTACGTAATCATTGTTTTTCATCGCAAATACATTGTAGTTCTACTTAAAAAATTGTTTTTATTTATTTTTGTACGTCTTTGTTACGATTTATTTAAATATAAAAGCACACTAGTAAGAACGGGTTTATTAGTACGGATTCTATATTTTGTTACGGAACACGGTTGACCAATCCGCCGGCTCTGACGATACGTACTCCGAGTGTTAAAAAATGCATCTAAGCGTATACTAAACTACCGAAAAGTCGGACTTATGCTTTCCTAAAAAAAGAAAAACAAAATCATCAAGACGATCAGTTTTCATGGGGGAATTAAGGGTAGACGAGACTCCTTAAAAGGTACTCACCCTACAGAACGTTACGTCCTGTTTTAAATAAATATCGGAAAGCTATTCGGGCAATATCCGGTCTCCCTGGTCGAAACAAATTTGTCCACCACTTCGGGATCTTCCGGAAAACGGAAGTCCTCCGGGTAGAACGACAGGTTGAGCGGTTTAAATTGACTGGTTACGGTCTAACGAGAACTTCCGGTCGCTTTCATTTCCATCCTACGCCGTCTGCACAGCGCATACATTAATAAAATTATGATATCCGTATCGGGGTCTCTTTTGCTTTGTGCAACACGTCTTGCACCGGCGCGACAAATTCATTTCGGCGATCGATTATTAAATTGAACAATTCCGCCAGGCATCCCTAGACTCTCTGGTAGACAAGTGCTCGGAGGAACTGATTGAACAGGAACAGTATTTGCAATACCCCGGGGAATACCGTGGAGAGTACGAGAAGGAATATCACGACGATTACAAACCGCTCATCGAAATGATACAGGAAACGTGAAATATGGTAAATTAATTAACCTTTTTTCGTTTACGTTGGTGTTCTAAGACAGGGGTCGGCAAACGTTTTTTGTATAGGGCCAAATAGCCATACACCCGTTAGAGCACGTACTTTGAAATTTTAAAAAATTTGAAATTGTAAAATCTATTTTTAGCTTGTAGGCCGTACAGAAAGAGTCGGTGGGCCGGACTTGGCCCGTGGACCGTAGTTTGCCGACCCCTAGTCTAGAAAGTTCTTAGTACAGAGTGTAACAAAAATGTCGGAGGACCCGAAAATGGGAGACTCGTGAGGTGATTTGAAACAAGTTGTTCCTTGAATGATCCGAAAATGATTTCGATCTAAATTGTTTTTAATATAATTGTCTAAAAATGCTATTAAGTTCATATTTTATTCCGAACCAAACAGTGTAAAGTCCATCAAGTAGAGGAATTAATGCAAAGTTCACCATTTCTACATATACAAGATGTTCCAAAATAGATACGACTCCCAGAAATGAAGGGTTCCTCGGATGATTTGAAACAACTTTTTCCTTAGGTAACGAGATATTAACGAAAATCCCCGACCAATCAGAGCGCGAGTCTGTCAGCCGAGTTCCCGCGGTAAGGTTGGCTACGCGCTGCGATTGGTAGTCAACGTTACCGCGGGAACTCGGCTGACAGACTCGCGCTCTGATTGGTCGGGGATTTTTGTTAATATCTCGTTACCAAAGCCACGGATAACATTTTTGCTAAGGAAAAAGTTGTTTCAAACCACCTCACGAGTCTCCCATTTCCGGATCCTCCAACATTGTTGTTACACCCTGTATGTATACTGCTATAAATTTACGCTATTAAGAACTTTATCCAGTTTCAGGGTAAAAGGAAACCGTGACTCCTTTATTAAGCTTTCCACTATATTCAGTTTTAAATAAACGTCTGTGTTATAATTGCATAAAATTCACAGTGTAGACACAATAATTCGATAGAATATTAATTTGCCATTGGTATACCTTTGGAGAAACGGAGAGCAACCAGTGTATAAAGAGGAAAGGTAATTAAACACATGATTTATTTTTGGGTATACAGTCGTATGCAACAAAATATTGAAGAAAATTTCTACGTGTGTATGCATGAGATTACTTTTTTAATTAGTTTTAGAAGTTAGAATTTTTGTGTTATGTATGGAAGTGGATGCGCCTGAGAACTGCAACCCGTCTTGCACCATTCATCCTCCTATCTGTCCTACCTAAGATTGTTGCATTATATTTAATACAATATCTTCGACGTAAACAGGAATATTTAAAAAAAACACACGTAAAAGTAGTAAGGTCAAAAATAATGTGGCGATACAGATAACACGAAGATTCGGATTAGAACTTTCGGTTAAAATGCACATATTCTATTAGTACATGAGGGCGTACACAGACAAATGACATTTATCATTTTTGCCCAGTCAGCTAAACCTGCAAAGCCAAATTTTGTACAATGCCTGTTATAAAGTTATGGCTACAAATTTTATGCAAGATTTGCTATAAACACCTTGCGCGCATATTGTGAGTAAATTGGCGGCAACATATGCAGCAAATTGGCTCGCGCAAACCTTGTTCCGGTTTTGTCCTCAATTTGACGTAGGTTATGTTACAAGATTTGTTGCCAATTTGCTTTACCGTTTCGTCAGCTGGCGTTGCCTCCAAAACCCAAGTCAAATGCAGAAACAGACGGTTTTTTAGACAACTTTTGTCATTTATTGCAGGTAATTAGCTCGAAACTTGTACATAACTGGTTATCAGGGTTGCTCGCAGCCGTTGGATAGCAAACGTATCGAAAAGATTATGATTGAGAGACTTTCTTGGCCATCAAAATTGCAAAAGCACAGTTGACAAATTTAAACCAAAAAGTAACCCCTATTTCGTCAAAGTAGAATAGTTATGTAGTTTCTTGTAAATCTATTACAAGTACGCCTACAGTCCGTCGCAAAAATATTTGGACACTGCCTATATAGTACATGACGCCTAATGACGCCTTGAAGGCGTCTTAGACCTAAAATAGCCGTAAAATGGGCGCCTTTAAGGCGTCATGTGCTATCTAGGTGGTTATGTTTGAGGAATTTCTTATGTGAATCCTAGTTTCCCAAGACTCGTGAAGGAGTGTTGTGAGATGTCAGGAATAATGCTTTGCCTTATTCCGAATCTGTCGCAAAATGAGTCGTAAAAGTCGTACATATTTCGAGATACGTAGTTAGTACTGTTTCACTACGAAAAGTCAGTATGGGATATAGCAAGCCTTTGAATGGTAGCCAAGAGTACCGCGTGGGACATTGTTAAAAGATATGGAGACAAAGATAGGATTGATTCTAGGTGGTAAAAAGGCCGTCCGACAATTCTGAGCGTTCGCGACAGACGTTTTATTGTTAGAGAACTTACAAAAAATCAACCAAGTGCTCCGAAGCCAGCTGTTAAACTCAATGAGGAATTGGAGATTCAAAATTATAGAAGTCAAAATAAATATATGATTAGAAGAGAATGTAGAAAATTATATTGGTGTTCGAATTTTTTTGTGATCGACAATACAACATGTACGTAAAAGTCTGAACATACACGAAGAAAGGACAGGTGATCATTCTGAAGACTTGTTGCAAAGCAATGAAATATATGTATACATACATATTATGTATAAAGTATTTGATCAAATGTACAAAATTGCTAGGTTAAGCGACACACATTACTGTTGAAATGATTGCCTCCCTTTACCTGCGCTACAATTAAGTAACCATTATTTTATGTGCAAAAAAAGTAGCGATTGTTAAAAAAAACATAAATGTGTATGATCCTTCAAAAGTTTAATCTAGCTAAGGCTAAAAATGATTTATTTGAACAAATATTTATACCCTGTATTCATTCCTCGTGCGATGTTCAAACGAAATGTTATGAAAGGAAGAAAAACGAGTGAATATGATATACATGTTGGACGATACAGGTAAAGAAAATAACAATATGTTCTCAAGCAGTTTATAGCAGTTTGTATACAAGTGTCTTCTCGCCTTCTAATGTTGAAAACGCAAGCTCGCTAACCATCCTTCATGCGTGCAAGCGTGTGGAAAAGTAGTTCTCATCGACGTGAACAAGTATGTACGCCCTACGTCCCCTAAATTATTTGCACTCATTAATATGGGCTAAATAATAAGGAAGACGAAACGCTTGTTTCAAAAGTAGTCAACGACGAGTACGAAAGTAGACGAAACACACGTTACACGTTAATACGTTATCTTGAATCGGATTATCATCCACTATGGTTAAATAGAAATTGAACGCGAGAATTTGTTGAAAATTGCAATCTCTATCAATACTCATAAATACTGGCGTTTGAGAATATTGTTTTCGAAACACTAAAGGCACGTGTATCGTAGATAAAAAGTACATGCAACCCTAATAGTCTTGAAACGAGTCTTTATAAAAAACGGTCGTTCGACTACATTGACGTAAAATCTCAATAGAGTTCGAAAGGTTTAAAAGGACGGAGGAGGGCTAAAGGAATAAAAAAATGTGTCGCAGTCTTTTAACGATAAACTATCTGCACGGGCGAGCAAAAACATTTCGCTCCTAAAGAACTGTTAAACAGTTGCGAACTGTAATATATCACGATGTACATCGTAGTATGACAGCACATTGACAGTGAGACTTCTCTCATGTATCACAGTGTTCGATGACACTCTTGCGTTAGAATCGGCATAACACGCCGTAATATACATTCTACCGTAATAAAGACATCCGGTATGAATCCAGTCCGTCGCGCGATCCACACTCCGATAGCAAAATACTTTGAAACTCTGACTCTGCTATCTCTTGGCACAGTATCAAAAAAATTTGCCATTATTACGAAGTATCCACAGCCCTGATAATTGATTACAGCATTCCTTCTCGTTTTCTTTCTTCCAGTTTTTTTTCTAGAGTGTAATATCAAGACCTTTAGCAAACGAAGTATACTCAAGAAATAAATTACAACCGTTCAATTACGAAATTCGAGCGTGTTGGTTGTGCGTTGAACGTACAAACGATTCGTTTAGAAACTGTTGTTCAAGCATCTTCAGGTACGTAAGCGTGGACGAATTTTGTGCCCTGTCACTACGTCATTCGTATCCACAGATACTATTACGCTTTGTTCCCAAACTAAAAAAATGATCGAATGAGTTTTCACATTAAGTCAGGCGGCGGTCTCTGGAACGCGATACTCGCTATCGAAATACTGCATAGACATGCCGTTATCACACCCAAGCATATATATATTGCTGTGGTCAGCCAAAAGGCAAATAAGTACAATGTTTTATTACAGTATTTGCCTAAAGCCGGATCATAATTTGGTTCATATTCTTTGTACACCCACATAGAGCCTATAAAAATACAAAAATATTATGATATAACCGTTATAAATGTTATATTTAGACTACAGACATTTATTCGAATATAAACATCTATAATCTAGTTATATCAAATGGTTGAGTAATGGTTTGATTACTTTACTGACCTATAATGAACCAACCAAGCATAAAACAGTCAATTAATGTTTGCCTAGGACTCTGTCGCATTCTGTCTTCGTCTGTTCCTCCTTGTTGGTGACGTATTCTTGCACACAAATGTAACAATTGTTTATAAATACTAAACCCACCACCCACTAATAAATACACAGGAATATATTCTCCTTGTGGACAGTCATTAAGATAAAGTCCACCAATGACCATCATGCATATTGGAATTACAATTGTTACTCCTAAGATAATAGTACATCCAACTGAAATGATTAAATATATTTTCAATAATCCATCCTGCTAAGAAATCAATTATTAAATTCGAATAAAAGTTTTTGCTTACTAGTGCCTAACAATAAAATAACAATATTCTTCAAAAAATCAAACACTCCTTTAGAAACTTTATGTGCTTCTCTTACACGGCCAAACAGTGAATCATACGATGGTGGAGGAGCTAAAAAAATGTAAGAATAGTTCTGTGTTAAGCAAGAATTCAATTACAATAAAACTATATTCTAGTAATACTACATAACAGGGTAAATAATTATAGTGAGTGGAAATGTTATAACATGGTCCTAAAGTAAAACCCTCAATTTAAAGTCTTATTGATGTTACAGAGCACGGGACAGTACATTTTATTATGTTTTAGAATTTTTAATGGGTAATACTTGTATCTAAGTGATATACTTTTGCTTGTACAAAAACCATAAATTTTAATAAATGGCTGTCAAGATTTCACTGACAAACAAAAAAACATTGAGCTAAACGAGTTTAAATTATTCATATAACCCTGAGTATGCCCTAAATAATTTATGTTCCTTGCTTCTGTCAATTTCATTGTCCCAGTATGTAAAACACGAGTATTTCTGCTCATGAGTTGTTTTGCAACCACATTATATCTGTTTCACCAAAAATAAGCTTTATCTGTTGGAAAAGGTATTTACCATTAGGATCTATTGCTTCCTCATAAGAAGGAGGTGCACCACGCTCGTTAGGTTCTTGAGATGTTGATGAATGTCCCAGAGGTAGATTGATATTAGAATACGAAGGCGGAGGAGTATAACAAGTGTATGTTATTTGAGCGCTTGTTCCAGGATTCACACTTTCATTTGTCTCGACGGTGTGGCTCGGATTTGTTTGACTTAACGACATCTCTTCACGTGTATTAGTTGCTCGAAGCGAATAAATATAGTTTGCATGAAAAATTTGATGGTATTTGGTCGTTGCCACCGTCTACACAAACATACAATCTTCTTAACCTATAAACAGATCTTACTATATATACTCGAATATTACATTCGATGTTCAAATTTGTTTCATATTGTATACAGTATAACACACACTTCTCCAAACATACTATCGGAACGCTTCAGTCTGAAGCACTTGGATCAAGCATAGAACGTTGACATTAATAACAAAAAAACGCTTCTGTCTATGATATGTGTTTCGAAAAATATATCTTTTATGTCGCTATTTCATTCGATTTTATGAGAGAGACTCGGGTGGGATTTACGCGATACCAATTCTCATTGGAAAAGAAGAGGAAAATACTTATTAAAGAGACGAACTGACACACCCCCGTTTTTTGGAAACGCAAAACAATGTTATCGCGCAAACTCGGCGTCTACGTTTGGTTAAAGTCGCGGTCTCCAGTTTAAACCGCTGCAAAATGTTTGCAACACGGAAACCTACGACATTTCGTGTCAGCTTTAAAACGTAGAAAAACTCGGCCCGAAGAAACTATCAATTTAAAAGCTTACATTTGCGTCACGAAAAAGCATTTGCGGCATACGTATCAATTACATTCCGTATCGAATACGATAGAATCGACAACTCGATGTGTGCACTTTTGCAGGGATGGTCGATCTCAAATCGAGCTTTCAAATTCAAATGCCGGAAATTCTCGTAAAATAGCATAAAATATAAAGAAGTCTACCATGCTTCTCAATTAGAAAAAGATTGATTTTTTTATTTGTACATCTTTTAAGTTATGATGCTTTAGGAAATTTTACGTTTAAATTCCAAGAATTAATTAAACAACTTTTGTAATGACTATTTGTCCGTTGAAAATTCATCAATACTATATAACTTCTGTAACATCAGAAATTCAAAACAATTCTTTCTATTTTCTGGAATATCTCATCATTTTTCTTGAAAAAAGGTATTCCCCAACAATAAAACAAAATAAAACTATATCTTCGATTCTTGACTATACGAATTTAGTATTGGACGTGTTACATGTTACATAGATGGTTTTTAGATATAGAAATCGTTTAATATGGAAATGAAACTTTAAAAGTTTTAAATCTTTAAACTGCCATTACGCACCAAAACATAAATATTGCGTCATAAATCTAATAAAATGCGCAGTTTAATACGTTATCTTTTCTTAAGAAGAAGTATGACTACATTTGAAGACTATTATATAATGTTTTATGATTCAGAATTGTCTTACAAATCATAATACTTGTTAATGTCAAAAACATAAAACACAAAGAATTAATCAAGAACATAAGATGCAACTAAAAGTGACAGAGTCGAAAAAATTATTTGGGAAGAAAGAAGAATCATTGTAAATACATGAAATAACAAATTAGATTCCGATAATTTCTAATATCCAAAATGTTTTATTAAATTGCGACGAAAACTGTGAAGTTGTTTTTTTGAATCTGTATTTTTATGACTGATTGCCAAGGTTATTTGAAAATTATTTGTCCAATCGACTGGAAAATTTGCATTCGCATAATACAAACATTCCTTTTGGGAGTCAATTAAAGTAATTAAAGGATCTTGAAAACTTTGAAAAATCAAGGTGGGAGAAAAATCGATTTGGTTCGTTTTTACGGTCGCATTTCGTTTAAAGAGTCATTATTTTGTTAAAGCCTTAATGTGTTTCCTTAAATCCAGTGTCAGTAATATATTAGTTTATTATTAAAAAATCAATTATGTTTACTAGTAGTAGTATTAGTAATATGTACTAATATGTAATAAAATCATTATGTAATCCACTATTGCGATCAAGTTAATACATTTCCAATGGTGACGCAGTAAGTCCTGTTGTCTTGTTTTTCTCGTTGATTCCGATCCTATTGTTGAAATCGCAATAGAATTGCTTTTGTTCTAGAAAAATCGAGTTTAGGAAATCAGTTTTCAATCTAGTTTAAATGTTTTTCATCTTTCGTGGAGGATTATACGTAATATATCTCTCGTAGATACATCCATGTTCCCACGATCTGTGATCGATAGAAGTCAAGAAATCACGCAACCCTTGACACGAAGCATTTTATTCCATTCAATTGTTAGAGATTACGATCGCAACGAAAATCTAACGCACGCTATTTCATTCGTTGCTTTAAATACCAGATTTTTATTGCACAGTGCACAGTGTTGTTTAGTTATTCATTACCAAACAGTCGTAGTTTAAAGAGTGGACGATGGAGGTTTCAATGGTAGAACTGTTATTGTTGTTTGCTTTGTCTATTACTTCGTGGTCATACGTCGAGGTGAGTTTGAGAATATTTAAGTCAACATTTCTATCTATTTTGTCAAACATTAAATCGTCTCGACGGGCCTGTTAGGCGGGAAAAACAGTCACGTTCACAGAATGCAGCACCAGCGTTACTGACGATAACGTAATTGGTTCCTGGACATGCAGCATTGAGGACAATCGCCTTGTTTCAACTGTATTCCTTGAAAAGGATTGTACAAGTTCAGTAACGGTACTTGAAAATTTGATATCAAGTGTTTGTTTCGATATTAACTAGTAAATAAACCGGGTGACTAAAATTCTTTCCTAGATTGACATAGAAGTAAAAAAAGACGGTAATCCGATGAACAAATTGGCTCATTCTGTAAAAAAAGTAGCGGCGGACATAGAAGGGCAAAATATATGTTCAAATGTTCAAGCCCCAGATCCTGATGATCCGTGTTCCGCAGCTAAGGTAAGGGAGTGCATTTTAAACTGTTGCTGTTCGAGAGCTCGTGGGACAATCATATAAATTTCATTATCTAGGGTGAACATGTGTTCGAAGCGTGCGACATAAGTTCATGGTTCAGTGACATGGATCCCGGAAATTACGAATTTAAGGCTGTATTTAAAGAAGACAATAATGACGTCGGTACTACTACGCTTGGCGTAAAAGTCGAGAATGAATAAAAGGACAATCCTCGTTTGAAAGCATTCAAAAATATAACTCATTATGTGTAGGTAGTGTATAAGTATTGTAAAGGTGTCTTGTTTCATTTGTAGTAAATAAACTTCCTGGTATATACACAATTACTTTCTTCTTGAGATTTGAACCATAATTACATAAGAGAATAGTTAGAAAGAAGGATATTTATTTATCTTCTATATAATATAATCAACGGTTCTCGGCGCACGTGTTAATTCTTAGATTTTAAGCAATGTGTCTAGGAAGGGGTTTTTCTGCTGATGACCAGGATATTTCTTTTTATATTTCAAACCGGTTACTATGGTTGAACTTTTGGGAAACGCAGTTTTGCCGCCAAACATAGTGTCCGTATCTAAAACAATGCCATGAATAAATAGTTAATTCTGCTGTTAAAAAGTTAAAAATAATTAAGGATTAATCGATTTACCAGGATGGAACCGATGATATTCGTAATTGATATGCAAATTTTTTGGTAAATCCACGTTGCGCATACTATCCAGAGGAGTTTGGATGTTCACTGGCGTTGCATAGAATTCTTTTAAGTGGCCTGAAAATGTAAAGTACATTTTACAACCCTGTTAAATAGGTAAAAAATAGTACTACATAAGATATAATCTGAAATAATGTTGCCGGATGTCTTACCGATCGTTTCGATACTGCATAACATAGAATTCGGCACAGAATGTTGAAGCTCTTTCTCGCAAGCCAAAAAAAGATTAAATCGCTGAATAGGATCCTCCAGTTTTGTCTTGTCGTTCGTAGAAATTGCCTGATTCTCGCAAATTTTATTTATTCTGGTATACACGTCCTCCGGAGGCCTATAGTCTTTATTGTACCTCAAGAATCTATAACAGTTCAAGTAAAATAAATATCGTATTTTATTTAAAACACACTCAAAACTTCAAAACAATGACAAGTATAATAAAACAAGCCTGTCTTTAAACACTAAATTGTCAATATTTTTCTACGCGTATTTAAAAAATAAATTTTATTATCATTTAGCAAAAGTCCATGCCCCCGAAATCACAACATTATCCTTCAAGCCCCTTTTCTATTTCACTAAACCATATCGAAACTCGAAAATATCGATTTTGCAAGAGACACCTAGCTTTCCCGTTTCGTAAAAAATGTATTTCGGTAAAACATTCTTCTCGATGATATTTGTTTCAAACTGCATAGTTATCAAAGTGTTTTTTATTACAACATTTGGAGAAACCTACGTAAAAACAAAAACATATGAATGGTGCAAGTTCCTCCTCTAAAGTACCAGAAAATGTACACGTATAATTCTTGCCGTCGATAGCAGGCCGGTATATGTAGCCCAAGCAGTAAGAATCAAACAAAGTGTACCCTAGGTTATCCTTTTAGCATTAACTGGCTTCCGGACATTGTCTATGGCCATAGTAATTGATAGTCACATTACAGATCAATATCGCCAACGTTCGATTATCTTTGGACGACTCGCGCCAAACTTTTCGTACAGTGTAAAAGATTGGCAGAGCGACGACAGCAAGGGAGGCTTCCCTTAGAATAGGAGGGTAACGGAGCAAAGGGGAAGAGAATGGGAAGGGATAAGATCGATGTCCAACGACCGTACAGTGGTGCCCCCAGTTGTATTTTCTCAGGATACAGTTATGGCCAATATTGGCCAGGAACGAAATCAGGCCTGGAAAAACCCTGTGGCTACAAAAACTTTTGGTTACACCGAAAAAAATTCTGCGTGGAATTTAAACAATGCTAGCTATCTCATCTAATCTAGGAATTTGTTAACTTTTTATATTTTATAATACATTCACGAGACTTCGACCACAGAGATTATGGACGGTATCGAGAATTATTAAAATTCAATTTGAAAGGAATGAATTGTTTAGGGAAATGAGAGCGCAGTTCTGTTTCCATTTGCGCGCGCGTAAATCTTGATCTAGGCAACGAGAGAAGGGCGATGGTTTGTCAATGTTAATTACAAGGACAGAGAAACTTGGTCTTTGAAACAGGTGTTCTCAATGAAAACTAGCACAACCGGGGAACGAAAATGTATCAGGATTAAATTGTTTCCCACACTTGGTTTTCCTCTTACATTTCTTTCCTATCACTTCATTTAATTTTACAGGTGCACCTAAAAACTGAGCCGTGCTTTTAGCAAGTAGTATTAAAGAAGGGAGTTGTGGATACTTACTACTTCCTTAAAAGTAAATTTCTCGAGTATTATTCGTCAAAAGAAACAAATATTTTGAAGTAATGGAATGCGAAAAAATAATGGTGATCAACGGGAAGTCTATAGCGGTACATGTAAAAGGGTATGGTTAAACGTTACGTCACACGAAAAGGTAGAATGAAATTCAATTCATAGATACACGTGAATCTGAATCTATTTAATGCCAAATTACGATCTTATTAAAGCTGGACATTATTTGAACAAAAGAACAATTTAGATAGTTTTAGTACTTGATAAAACAGAGCCAAAGCATTGAGATGCAGAACGATTAGACGTTGGGACCGACAATATTATTCCAAAAATTACTGATTGAAAATTATTCGAAACTCATAATAATTACCATACGTGTAATATATAGTGTAGTAAGGAACTACAGTTCCGTTCTTAAAAACAATGCCATTATTATTCAAGAGCTATATAATAAACAATTCGAACGTATCCTGTGGGGCGCTAGTACCACAAGTGTCTGCCCTGAGAAGTTGTCAAATCCGGATGGTGATTGGTCAGCACGTGAAAGGGAGATGGTAAACGGCAATATGGCCACAGTCTGTTCTCTGGCTGTTAGTAAGCGGCGCGACGTAACGCGAATATTTAGTTGGAATTCGTGCGCGAATTAAGTAAATCACTTACCCTTTATTGGCGAGTGATTTCTCCGCATCGTTGAAGCGACGTGCCGCCACTTTAACGGGTTTCTTACTCTTGAAACGGATAATATCGTATCGCGAGCTCGTCTGTAAAATGACGGTGGTCTCGTTAGTTAGTGTACCCTACGGATCGGACCTCACAGCCCCCAGCTGGGTGTGTTCCGCGATGGTAGTGTTTAAAAAGTGTACGTGAAGTGTCAACACTAACCGTGCTCACAGCGAGAACAGGAGATGCACATTTCAAGTGATTCGCGAGTAAACCATGCCTGATGAGCGCCGCCATCTTCTTCCTCGTCGTCGAAGCGAACTGCGCGAGTAAGCAGTAGGGGGCGCCTCGGGCGGCTGCGCTTGTTGTTTCCCATCGTCCGCCATTTTACGGTCGCCATTGAGAAGTGAAAACCCTCCTAAATGTTCTCGAATAATAGCGGCCTCGCCGTGTGATTTTCGGGGCTGAGAGAGGCGTGCCGCCGCGAGAAGTGTTGCTAATGAGTGTACACCGTACGATGGAGAAGCCATGACGCATCCGTCGCATCAAACGAACGGCGCTAGCCTGGAGGATTGCCACACGAATTTCTTCGCACTGGTGAGTGATCGGTGGAGCCCACTCTTGGCGAGAGTCGGCCCGCATATATTGTCTGTGTTTGGAGTATCGAACGGACGGAGCCTTTGGCTTCACTGGACGGGGACCAATTATCCAGCGGCCGCTTAACGGTATCGCGTAACGTCGCGATCACAAGTTGCCCGGGTTAACCTATATATTGAAGAATTCCCGTGGGCAGTACTCAATCGTTCGTTGACGACGACGTCGGTGTTGTGTATCGCGGCACTCCCCTCCCCTCCCTCTCTCTTGCCACTCGTATATGTATATATATATATATACGCATGTATACACTATATGTGCAATACGTCTATATACCTCCGTTTATATACATTACGCGTCTATATATGCCCGCATATACGTATTTATATACGTATATGTATTTGCATATACAGTATGTCCGGCATGAAGTACCGACTGCACTTGACATTTGTCGCCACTATTCGCAGGAATACCTGATAAATCGTTGATCAAAAGTCCGAAACTCGTCTTGACACGCATAATAAAACGCATAAAGTTTTGACGAGATTTACTTTTTAAGAATGGTACACCACGTTAAATTTCTTACGTAAAGTGAAACAGCTTTCGTTCGAGCAAGTTTTCCGCATCCTCGAGAGCTAAAGAAATAATTGCTTGTGTACATGCATGTAAACCGGATAGACTGTATATTACATAGAAATGCGTGTCAGTGGGATTTAAAGTTTGTTATGCGGACCCAATGTCATGCCTGATTCACGTCGACCCTGAGTTTTCCGCTCGTCAAAGAATTAAGGAGGTTGCGGCAGGACCGAGAACCGGTAGCTGTTGCATCTCTACCGCAGTGAATATCGTTCGATTATCACCGCGCGTTGTGTATACATACTCGTGCCTCGGCGGATCCACCTCGCAACCGTTGGAAACGCGACGCTCTCTCGTCGCCGTTCTCAACGGACAACGAGATCATCTCTCGTAACATTCCTTTCGCCTTTCGACGAACTCTGAAAACTGTGTCAGACAGTTGTTTCCACCACTCGGAAGTCGAGCCATCCCGACGAAACTAGGAACACCTTCCCGTTGTACACTGTGAACCTCGATCGTGTCAGTGCGATACACATCGACCTATCGAGACGACGGACTCTTTATGCATCTCTACCTGTGTACAGGATGCTTCGAAAACAGAGGCGGTCGAACATCAGGATTGTATGTTGTCCCGTTTCGAGGACGATAAAAATTCAGTGACCGTAGACGTGTCGGAGGGAATGCTGTCCTGTCAACTTCTGTCAGTGAAATAACTCCATTGCAGTGTGACGCTATGTATGTGTATCGAACGAATGTCGTGTCTCGCTTGTTTACATTGAATCATTGACTGTGTGGAGATCGATTACAATCGATATCTTCCACACATATGGCCAAGGAGTGTACGGTGATTGACAGGTTGGCAAGAATGGCACCAACATTTTTCGGGGTATTTTCAACGAAAAAAGTGTCTCGTCCAACGGAAACGGAAATGATTGCAACGAAGAGTGTATCGAAGAAATTGTATTTGTTTAATATTAGTCACAAGATTAATACGTATATAGATATAAAATGATGGGGCAACAAAATTAGCACATAACAAAACAGCGATTTTAAAAAACGGAAGATAAAAAAAAGGTGGGTTTGCATGTTTCTCGAGTGATAACGCGGAACGTGCCTCGAGCGTTTGGGCACCTATTTTAGAAACAGCCTGTATGCAGGGCCTCTAGGCCGTCTATCCCTCTTTCTCGTTCGTTTTGACGGTGCAGTGTACACGCGACTCGCGTACACACATATATATAGACTACACACACACGCGCGCGCGCGCGCGCGACAACGAGGCAGAAACATTTTTCTGTTACGGTCGCAGCGTACTGCATTCTCACGAGCAGTCGATCAAAGACATTCTGAATGGGCTTACGGTGCTACTCTTTTTCCGGTTTGACTGCGTATCTTTCGCAATCATTGAACAAAGAATTTTTGTTTTAAACAAAGAATTTGAAAATTTTAATCGAGCTTTATTCTTCAGTTCGATGAAATGTCAGTGTATAAGTTTGACGTTTTATTTCTTAAATGTATACATATGTAAAATTCTTGGAATATTCGGCGGTTGTCAGGCCTGGCGACAACCACAGGGAAAATTGTATGCTTTCGTTCTGACTACTCCCGCTGCTTTCCCCAATAACGACAGTTCGTCGGCCCCTGGCTGTTCCGCATGAATTCGATCCGAGAAACGACTCTGAAGTTTCGTTTGATGCTGTCCGTTTACAAACATTGTTTTTTAAAATATATATTTCTTGTATTCTTAAGCTTCTTTTATTATACGTTTACCTATATATTCTCAAAATATTAACCTGTTAACTGGGTATGACGAAATATTTCGTCATATCAGGAAGACAACTCCAATGGGGATGATGGCTTTTTTTGTCGTTCAAATTTCTAATGGTGCGCATTAAGTTTTACGTCGTTCTTACACATTAAAACCTAGCATGGCCGTATGGGAAAATATATATGGGCCCATTGTGAAACGAGTTGAACAAAAGTTTACTCCGGTAAACAGGTTAACAACATTCAAGAAATCATTACTGTCCTAATTTTATGAAATAACACTAATTCAATCTTTTAACGGAGAAAACTATTTCTGGCGTTCAGGTTATCTATTCATTCGCGTCAAAGTTTTATTTTTATTTTTTTTTTATAAAATATCCAGGACTCAATTGTCATTGTTAACGTATTATTTATAAAAAAAATTTCAAAGTACACTCCAATGGTTTTGAGTTTACATAACAGCAATGGTAAAAACAAGACAGATTGCTCGAGACTGCACAGCAATATGTAGATAAAAGAATTGTAATAGATTTGTATTGAATGAACTTTGTGTTTTTTTTTTTTTTTAATTTCGAACAAAGTCAGTAGTTAGTCTCGCAGTGTAGATTGACAGTCGATTAGTACGACGAGCAAAATTGAAAATACGTGTGGCCAGGTAGGAGCCAATGCTCGGGCGCAGTGATTCTCATTTAGGGCGCGGATTTCGAAACGGGAATGTACGCGTACCTGCGTGTTGGATTCTTTTGATAATACGCCGATCGGAGATATCGACTTTCCGGCGCGGGAACGTTTACGCAATGGAATTTCGCAACGTGCCGCGCTGAGAATCACTGTCATGGATCGCGGCAAGGAATTGTGCTAGGACAATAACAAAAGGAGCGCGTATATACACTTCCTTCTGTGTTGACGGTGGAATGACTGAAATATACGCAGTCACGTATCCTTCTAGACTTCACACGGGATTCCGTATCGCTAGTTTCTCCTAATACAACCAGGTCTAGTGAATTCTTCTCGGTGTTGGAGACAGTTGGACGGTCACGGATTTAAATTTAAATTCAAGCTCAAATTTGAAATAATCTAAGGTGGTTCGTACCTGACTCTCTAATCAATAAAGCATCATATTAATAATTGGTATTAAACTGTCGCTAATACATTTTAATAATGTATAAAAATTATATCTGACTGAAAATAGCGATCCATACTCAATATATTATTGGTATAAATATTTTTCTAATCTCTTATTATAAGTCGCTTTATGACTTTTTGCGTTACCATAGTATTTTTTCTCTCATCTTGTTTTCATTGTCAACAAAGATTTGAAGTACATTTTAAATACAAGTTCTAAATGTGTTATTTTATGTATCAGATTATTAACATATAAAGTATTTTGTGTGTCGAAAATTCCAGTTCAAAATATTATTCTATTTGAATCGTGTAGCATAAATTATGTGAAATAATATTTGGAATGTTTTTCTCTAAATTTTAATCAGCTTTGGTCGTGACACTACAATTTATTCAGTTTCAGAGAACTTTGTTAGTTAGAAAGTGATTGTTTACGTTCCACAATGAATGATTAATTATAATCTTTTTGCTCAATGTTTCTTTTTGTTAGAGAACAATCTGTGCCGAAACGTAAACAAAGTTTTATACAGTTTATTTTTTAGTCCGACTTGAAATTTTCAAGGGTAAATATACTGAGAGATTTTATACGAATTTCATTTTAATCCAACATCTGTTTTAATTTATTTGAAATATTTCTCACTAGTTTTACTGCTACAGTAGATAGTACCTTTTCGTGAAAGTACTGACCGAGCTCTAGATTGACATACATCCTGTCAATAATTGCCATTCATAAAAGTTCCACTAAATGTACAATCAATGAAAGCGATGTTTCACATGTAACAAGGTGCACAAATTTAATCTGTAACTGAATGAATCGGTGGCAAATTGGCAATGAATTTTTCTAAATATTTCTCAACTGATTTCACTCAAATAATCTTGTAACCTCTTCCAAGAGTTCGTTAATTGACTCGTGTTCGGAATTTTTTTCGTAGCATTCAATGCCAAAATATTTCAGTTTTGTTAAATCAGCTGAACCGTGGACATTGTTGCACAATTTAAAGTTGCTTATTATTTTCTGAGTTTTTTTTAATATTCTGAGAGACGTTTCACCTACGACTCGGGATTACTGGTGCACATAAAAATGAAATAAACTAGTAAAGTTGCAACCAGTGTGCATATAACAATATCTTCATTTTTAATAGATGGTTAAATCATATATGCAGTGCATATATGTACCTTTATAGTGCATGTTAGTACCTTTGATTGAATACTTTTTACCAGGTGTACTAATCAAACCTCGAAAATCGAACGATATTGAATAGTCTGAAAATTTTTGAAATCCCAGGTCAAAATGAACCCAACCGTTCGAGGGTAACCGGCACATTTTTTAAACGAAAACACCCCCAACGCGGTGATTGACAAATCATTGCCCCCAATAATTAAGTCGCGAAACTGCAAAAATTAAATTTTCCTATGGTGAAGAAAATAACTTTGTCGATTAGTGTAAAATCACTTTACAATATTTTTATCTAACAACCATTTATCAGATTGGCAGAAATTTAAGTTTTGCGACTGTACCAACGACAAGATAACAAAAGACG